CCGCCTCCACTTCTCTTCTCTCGCTCTCTCGCATGCATGCATGCATATCCTCATTGAGCAAGCGCTTACGGGTTGACATGGCCACACTCGATCGGCCACCCTGGTGAACATGAGTTTTAGCGGCTGGAATTATAAGCCATTGGCAGACCAGGCGAAAATAGGCTAGCGCTCGTCTTCTCAACGGCCTGGCCTCAAAATAGGCTAGAAATTGCCTCATATCTGTCCATACTGACAATTTAGAGAGCCATCCTCAATATTTTTCGTTTGTAAGTAGGCTTTCAAGACTACCAGTAGATCATATATTTGATATGTATTAATCCTATTTCGTTCAGCTACCAGTCTCCTTATCACCCTATGCGAACTAGGATGAATACATATCATGTAGCTTCTATATTGTCTTTAACGCCTGGAGATGGGTAGTGCCCATTGGCGCATGAACCCCTAGACTGATTCCTCGGGATGTGGTCATTCAGCGTGGACTGAACTGCCATAGGGAGTTTGCATGAGTTCAAACAATATATCTAAACGGCCTCTTTTCGCTGTATATACGTTTTTTGACAGGGTTAGAAAACCAGTTGAAACGTCATGCATCCCGAAAGCTTCTCTCCCATCATTGAAGTGGCCATTATGTACTCTCTTGGCCTTTATCAGCAAGCACTTTGGGATTCTAACCCAGCAAGTTTGGGCTAATAGGCAAACACTCTACTCCCCAGGCCACCCTGCCAAATTGTAATCAAGTCGTGGGGCTGGCATGGCTTACAAGACAGAGTGGGAGGGTGCGCAGACTTCTCTTCCGTTCATCGTGATTATACAAACCTGACAGTGATTAGATAAAATTAAGAATGAGTTTTTCTTTGGCTTTCCAATAGTTGTTTTTAGATTTAGTGTAACGAGAATTTTTAATTTGGATTTAATATTTCGTCTCACTGAAAGTCGAGTGGGGATTTCGCTACAGTGACTACTGCTGACTTGTACGAAGAAGATCTCGATGCGCTGCCCAATGACCCAGATCCATACATAAATAACATTGTATAAATTGTGTCATTTTGCAATTGTGGTAGTTGATGGCTACTAAGTAGGCTTATTTAAGCAACTTACTATATTTCTTAATTTGCATATGAAGATGTCTACTGTTGAATGTTCTCCCAATGAGATAAGTATGCTTAACAATGGCACTTAATATCACTAGGCCCTGCTTCGAAAAACTTATTCTCATCCAGGCTGGACTATGGATTCGAACCAGGATAGTTTAGTGTATACGTTTGACATGTTACCATTAAGCCACATTGTCCCAGTGAGTCAAAGGGTAAATGTGAATTTTGAGGCTACTCAAGGCTTTCGCGTATCAAAATTTTTAGTAAGATTGTCGTAATTATGTACTCTACTACCCGAGTTATATTCTCGCCAGGGGTAGGTTGAAACTGCCTTCCAGTCCAGCCTGAACGAGAGTTCCTTTTGGAAGGCAGGGCAAAGTGAAATTTCAAGACATTGTGAGGCCTACTCGCATTATTGTGGAAAATTTTCCACTATCAGTCCGTACTCACTTTAAACGATCCAGGGTGACTAAAACTTTTATGTATGATCTATGGGCAGACGCGAAATTCGATTCAATGCGAATAAAATCAACGTTGCCAACTTTAATGGTGAGTTAATGATTGCTTCAGCGACAATCCCCCTATAAAATTCTGATGTGCGAAAGGCTTAGCTTACTTTGAACTGCATTGTGACCGACTGAAACTCGTGATAGTGGCCTAATGGTCAAATGTTGAAACTATATTACAGCCTACTCGGGTTCTTTTCCCGTTGGGGATACTGATGAGAACCAGGTGGGGTCGAAGTTGTAGTCCAGTCCAGCATGGATGGAAACACCTTTTGCGAAGTAAGGCTAAGGGACCTTCAATAGCCTCGTGAGACCTACTTATATCAACTATCATTTACCCATAACTTAATGTGAACTAGAACAAGACCCCTCATATTCCAGATCTAGTTATAGTTTCAAAACCCAATGACTCTGAATATATGTATTGAAACATACAATTTTCTCCAAATTGCACATGTCAATTAATCCTCTCCAAAAGCCTGCATTTTCAGACCAGGTGCTTAGAAGAAGTCGCACAATGTGCTGCTGGGGCTGATGAGCATGATGACTCCAGGCTGTCACAAGACCAAAAAAGGCATAGAGATCATATAATCCAGGTACTGCTGATTTGAATTACTCTTATATTTGATAAGACTCTTGTTCACTGTAATCGTCTTTCCCGAACAATCACGTGTCCTCAGATGTCTTTCAGTCATCCTCGAATAATTGCTGGGTCCTAGAGACAATGTACCTAGCTTTGCTTCATTTGTCAACATTCCATAAGGAAGCATATACAAAATACACCAATCTGCCAATCTATCTATTATCTCTGATCCATTATATTTGTATTCACGTTCATATATATATGTGTATGTATATATGTGTGAATTTGACTACTTATCCGTCTTCTTTTGAATATATCGTTCTTTCTCTTTTTCCTATAACGGCCTATTTTGGCCTTATTCGGATTAGCTCTAGTCTATTAGAGGCGACATTTCGTTGTTTTCGCCTTGGTCCCCCTCCTCACAACTAATGGTGGCGAGTCTTGGCAAGACAGCCAAGGTGAGAATGGGATACAACAAAATGGAATGGATTGATGCTTGAATGAGGGTGCAGGCGAGGCATGGGAGGCGGAGGGAGACAGAGAGCCCAGGGCAGGGCTCAAGAGGCAACAGGCTGTCCAGGGCTGGGAGGAGATGGGAACCGAGGCGTCTGGGAACCGGGGCTCCAGATGGACGGTAGACACGGGTCGTGAACGCGTGGTCGCGAGTGCATGGCGGACTTATAATCAGCGGATCTAGCCTATTTAGTGTTAGGCGGGAAGACTGATGCGAGCGACAAAGGTAGAGTCGGAGGCGCAGGCAACCGGTTGGTAGGGTATGATCTGTCTCCCTGTTCTGCCTCCTTTTGCTCACCTGTATGTGTCCATGTACATATATATATATGCGTGTGTGGAGTGGTGGGGATGAAGCATGTTCGCTTGCAACACTATGTGTGTCTATGCGCCAGCAGAGGGCTGGGCTGAAGTGGGATTTGGCCGGGTGGAGGTGGGGCAGAGGCGGAGAAGCGGAGACGGGCAGTGAGAACTGTTGCACGCATGTTAAAATGGGAATCAGGCCACGAAGTGGTGTCTCGAGAAGATATTTTTGCATCAACAGCCCCGTGACTTAAACCGGCCAACTACAGGTGGAATTTCATGCAGATTGGACGGCCAGCCCTGAGTCCATAAGGCATTTGTTCCAGTTCACGTCAAACTATGGGGTGAAGGAAAGGCACAAGAACACACTCGGATATGTATACAGATATGCTCGGGTGTGGAAGATGCGGGATTCAATTAGATAACTGTCAGAGTTGAAGAAGCGGAAGGGGACTAGTATGAGTTGCATTCGTCTGCTTGGATCGCGAGTCCAATTCCCCTGTTGAGGGACCGGCGAAATAGCGAAAAAAACCGGGGATGAGCGACTAGACAGGGTCTCGCGGAGGTATCGGTGTCTGGACCTGGGAGAAAGAAAGAAAGACACGGACACGGTTTGCGTCAGGTTGCGCTAGCCCTCTGTCTGCAGTCTCAGGGGACGTGACAACAAGTCAGGGCCTCGCTCATTCATCTCGAAGCTGCCTTGTGACCCCAACCATTTAACTTCGCTGCAAAGGTGATAGATTCTCGAAAGAATAGACAACTGACAAACTCACAAATACCCCAAATTACCCAAAGTGACCATAGTGATGCGACAATTTTCCGATGCCAGCCAAAAGTCTGGGAATGAACCGAGTCAGCAGTTGAATGCTGGCAATTGTCTTGAATACTATGAGAGAGTACACAGGACTAGGCATGCTCCACATTATCTTCCTGTCGCCCCGACCAGGTTGCAAAAGCGAAGTAAAGCTAACCCAAAAGCTGGTAGGTCGAGTAAATCGCCAGCTTCTCAGGATTATCATGCGAAGCCGTGGAGACAATAGTGCACCGTCCTCATGCTATGTGCCCAGCCAACTTTTCAAGGGATGTTCAGACTCTATAGGAATAATTTTAACTTACCCTTCACCACCTAATTAATTGCCACATTTGAGGATTTGAAGCAAAACGGGAAAGAGAACAGGATAATCAAGAAATCGCAGAAATTTGGCAATATTGATAAAATAGCGAGGCCATTTCGAGTATAAATCCCCTCGAGGGATTCAGCGAAGACCGGAGACATACTTTCTTAGTAGGCCCTTATTTAGATCATGGGGGTGGTCTGGGAATAGTATGCCTAACCATAGGAAATACCAAAGCAATGCACATGGCAAATGAGACATGAAGAAACAGATAATTCGCTTAGAGTCGAGTAAAATTGGAGAACGATTGAGATGATAGATGGGTTCTCGAGGCAACCAGGTAAAATCTGATGGGAGTTGGATAAAGTATAAAAGTGGTTTGAACTAGTTTTCGTAACTCGATCGTGGTGACTTGTCTCTTTGACTAGTTGTAGTCTGGTGCTAACACTTGTAAAATCCCCTGAGGATGCCGTCTGCGAAGCCGGCGAAACATTTGGGAATGCGCTAAGTCCACGCTACGATGCTGGAAATTATCATGGCTATTATGGCAGAGAAATTCTGACAAGGTGTGTCCATCTAGATTACCTTGACAACACAACCAAGTTTTGAAAATGATGTTACATTACTTGTATTTAGCTTAAGGGGGTTGCGACCAAAATAGAGGCTACACCATCTTGTCCTTTATATCTGCGAATAAATGAAGTAGATTGCAAAGAGCATAGACATTTAGGATCAAATATCGTGGCACTCAAAAAAAGACAAAGAAACCAGAGGGGCCTGCGGCTCCTATTAAGCAGTGTGAGAAACGAGGGTATGGGATGGACTAATGCACCAGGAGAGAAGGGGGAGTTCAACTTTCTGTTCAGCAGAGTGTTGATCAAGGTATTTAGTTTAGTGCTCTGCCTAAGTGCTTGTATAGCATATCCAGACAAATCATAAGATGCCTCATTAAGTTGATTTAAAGCCGGCCACCTTTCTTGTCTTCGTATTTTGGTGAAATATCATTAAGAATGGTGTCCTGCTCTGACGATATACGTCACATGACGAACGAAAGCTCAGCAAGGATTCATCGGAGTCGCATGTCGGTACGCCGAGGACTTATTCGCACAAATCTACCATCACGGCTCCAAGGCAATCCCCCCACAGCTTAGGGTGAGGCAAACTTTCGTAACCCATCCACTCGCCTCTTCAAACGAAATGAAAGTTACTCCAACATCAATCTATTAAGGGAGTCTTGGAAAGCCAGTTTTCCTACTTAACCAGCAGTGTTTACGTCAACTAGATATTTTTCAATATTGCCAGAAAATTGCACCGAATAAGTCGCAAGATTCTCTAGGCTATCGCGAGAGCAATCCTGCAGACAAGCATACATCACTATCGTGCTCTAAGTTTATACTCCTCAGGTTACGACCAGACGAATGAAGGACTCTTTCAACTTAACCTTCAAGACAAGAATTATCCTTCCAATTATGTGTTAGCGATAAACACACTAATTGTCTGGAGTCACGCGAATTTGGGTGATGGTGCGGACTCGCACGCGAGAATGCCTGGATTTTCATTCTTCCGTTGTGTCCCACTCATTCTGCAGACGAGCGTACATGATGTAGCAGAAGCGGTACTGTGACAATGGGAAACCTAAAGAAGGGATTGACCATATCGGCGCTTGGGCCTGATGTTCGAGCCTTATGGAACCTTTTAAGGTTGCATGTGTGGCCGAACTGGACATGAACACATAGACTAGGTGAAGCTGACGAAAGGAGATAGATGCTGTTGGTGTCGAGACTATATTGTGTTTTATGAGGTATAGATTTGAGGACCTGGGGAAAAATGGAAGAAGTTGGGCTTAGAGGAACACTCCATGAGGTAGGAGGAAACAACTTAGCGCATTGAAACTACGTGAAAACAAGGGGAACCTTAATCTACCTCTCTACAGTCAGGCTGAACATCTGCTCGCATCACTGTGGTACAAAGAAGCTGTCATAGAGACATACTGGACGACTGAAGAGGCATCTTGAAAAGGAGTAACCAGTCTATGAAGTCTGTCTGTCTGTCGGTCCGAATGAACACTTAGCTAATCAAGTATTTTTATCCAAGGGACCCATATCAATGTCTTTACTCACCCCAACTTACCACCCTACACCGAATATTATCAAATTATTCGTCCTTCTCTTGATACATTTTAAATTTGGTTGAGACATAGCTACATGATGCACACATATGCACACGTGTACACATACACGCTGTTTATATGAGCATGTGTATTCGGTTATTACGAGACACATTTGGGGTATGATGAGGGAGGATTGCAGCAACATAACGAAGTAGACACAAACTGTCATACAAAAAACACTCATATCATTTTAACCTCTCTCACTTCCTGCCGGTCTGCCTATACGTGACAAATGCTGCCCTACGAGGAAACTAGCTTGTCTTGCTGAGTTAGACCAACCTGGGCTTAAACTGCCATGCTCTCAACGGTCATCCCGTGGGTCCAGCCACTGGAACTGACTGAGCTACAGCTGGCGTCCCTCGTAGTTTGGCTGCGCCAAACTGTGGAGTAATGGTGCTTCGATTTGTATGCAAAGAATCAGCTATCTATGCGCCATCACTACTTCGTCCATGCTGTTTACTCCACTCTGCAACCACTCAAGTTGAGGAATGTGCGAAGATGTCTCAGTCTCTCTTTTCCACTGAAATTTGCATTAGATGCCGAAGTCTAAGCGTCCCACTCATTCCAGTCCATTGCCTTTCTTTTATACAGTACTCACGGCTCGAAGCCTAATTATGATACTTCGTGTGTAATCAGTCGAATGCTTTCGACCCCCAACAATTTTCACAATATAACTGGCTGACCACAACTTGGAAACCAGTGGTGTCTTATTTTAGCATCATAAGTGGGTCTACGAGACCACCAATAAATCTGTATTCATCTTTTTTCCTTTAAAGTGATTAAGGAACGATAGTAGAATTTCGTCTTATTATCGTCTCTAAATCATATTTCCTGACTTTAGAATCAAGATAAACCTTTTCAAGCCATTAGCATGCTTACTTAAGAGTGAGTAGCGCCAGATGGATTGAGTGCTCCTTTGTGGCTTTTGCAAGGTTTAGCACAAAAGTATTCGGCTTCTGAGCCGAATAGGTAAGCTCCATCTGATAAGATTATGATAAGTCTTCTTTATACCGGTGAAAATTATCCCACTTATTGCCTAAACAGATTTATCTTGAGGGATTGATTGATCGTAGATTCGCTTTCTCCACCGTTGCCTAGGCAACTAAAAGGAAATACAATCTACATAGCCAACGAGTAACGGCACTCCATCAAGCTACTGAACTACTAATAAGTTTTATTGGTAACTCCTCATTGTGGACAAGACACAAGCAGTTCAGACGTAAACCTTGAATCAACACTTTGTAAGACTAATTTGCAAGAACAGTCGAAATTAAACGAAGGTAGAAAGATCAAGACGGTGTGGCCGTTTGTGTGGTCGCAGTGTCCTCTCCTTGTATAGAGGTTGTTTGACCTTGTTTTCGCAACTTGGTCAAATCGGTAGGAAGACTTAGAGGAACGCACCTAATCCGGAATCCATTGTATGCATGATCATTTCCAAACTCGGACCGTGGACGTAGTACATTCCCAGACGTTTCGCCGGCGTCGTAGTCGGCATCGTCAGTGAGTCTCGCCACTCTTAGCACTATAGTACAGCTTGTAAAAGAGACAAGTGAAGCCCATCCTTTTACAAACGTGTGCTAAACATTTGCGGTATTTCCAGTGAAGGAAATATGAAAAAATTGTATATCAAGGATATCTATTTACTAGCACAGGATAAGGAAAACTTATAATACCTGTTCATAAAGGCAAGAGACAAGACAGGTAGCAAGACCAAACAGCAAACAAACAATGAGCCTATAAGATGTATTCACCCTATTTCGTTTAAAGGGATGAAGGACTGGTAGTAGAATTTTCCGACAATTATATTAATAGAGCTGACGTTTCTATTTAAGTTCACATAGCCTTACTTTCCCAAAAGTTGTCCTCATCCAGGGTGGACTACAGTTTAGACCTCGCATCGGTCTTATCAACACCCACAGCGGGAGTCGAACCGTAACAGTGCAACATGTGAGCTTGACACGTCAACCACTCAGCCACATTGACACAAGTGCCTTTGGGTCACAGGGAAGATGTGAATTTCAAGAATGACCAGGCTTTATTCCATATCACATTATTTGCTGGGATTATCGATGAAGCAAACGTATTTTTGCTATAACAATCGACTGCATTACTTATTTTTCGTATAGTAGTCTCAAAACTCTGCTTATATACGAAAAACAATGAGCCCTTTCCACTCCACTCCCTTCATTTAGGGCCGCCTACTCGAGCTGTCATGTATGGCAATTTGGCACAATTACCCTGGCTTTGTAACTCAATGTGGAAGAATTCGTTCCGAGGTTAAATCTGAAGACCAAATATTTACCCCGCAAGTGAGGAATTATATCCAAGGGCATAATCGAGCCTTTCTATTACTACGTTGCTGACAGCTCAATTACAAGGTTCTGTCTGACCCCACTTATGTCTTCTCCAACTGTTTCAATATTTTGAAAGGGGAACGAATAAATTTATGTAATGTTCAATATGAGGAAGTTTCGAGATAATCATAAATCTTAAATAAGAAATTTCGTCAGCCAAAGATTCTTCTCATCTCGATTGCACAGCAGCTTCATTATCTCTCGCATCTCAGCGCTCTTGATGCTTTTCCTCCTGAAAAGGCTTCATTATCAACTTAAGAGTCACTCGCATGAGACCGGAGGGAAAATTCAATTTTGAGTCCATATTCAGATACAATATATGGTGTATCCTGGAGATTAATATGGGTTTATGTGTTCTCAACTCATCTCCATTAATGGAAGAATCGGTAATGCAGTGGCCTATGCAGATACTCTTCGACGCACCTAAAATTTTAGATACGTAAGTCATTCTTGTCCGGTTTCGATAATTCATTTGCAGAGTATATAATAACACTCGAGTAATACTCGAATTAGAGTTAAGTATCATCTTTCTGAGATAACCAGATGGGTATCCATCGACTGAAAACTTCTAAAAAGTCCTTTTCATTTTGTGTAAAAGGGTTAGATGGAATGACTTGATGGCATTCTGCTTGAGAAAAGAAAGAGCATTTTTTGTGAGATTCATCGTTGAGATCGTCGTAGTCTATGGACCAATGTACTCTATCTATGGTAATTAAGTGATCTTCCGTTCATTGTATGAATGATATCTTCAAAAGACATCAGAAATGGCAGATAGGTTCTATTTAGCGTCGGATAGTTTTTCGGGAGTTTCATCGAAACTCGCTTTGTCTTCGTTTATATTACGTACGTATAGTTTTTCCGTGCAAAGTTTATGGGAGAGACGCGAGGAAATAGGGGCTTCCGAGCTGACTTAAATGTGCATATAGTCAAAAGGGCTGAAGGGGCGTCAGAAAAATCGGGGATGGAGAATTCAGCATCAGTGGATATAGTTGAGTAGTGGTAATTCGGTAGCTAAAAGGTAGCCACTCGAATTAGTGTAAATTGAGGTCTTGTCAACTTTGGCTCCTTAACCTACATTTTTCCATTCGTATAAGCACATGCTTGCTCTCACATGCGCAAGTTCACACGCGCGCGCAAGGTCTGCATGCAAGCACAAGCGCGCACCAGACCACATAGTTTGCATGTGGACAATTTTTCAAGGGCTAGTGGATCATTGTATGTGCAGGAAATAAGCAAGCGGCCGACCCTCCAGTCCACACATACTGCCATAGAACTAACCGAACTCGAAGTCAAAGCGCCCTTTATCGCCAAGGCAGCGCTTTACACATACCAGGCAAACAAGGAAAGAACGAATTCATGTTCAGCGGAGCGAGGATGAGAAGTGTTGTGAGGTGGCGATAAAGCAGCCTCGAGTATGCCAAAGGGCTCTCACAACTTCTCTCAGGACAGCGATTGGCAAATAAGGATGGGGAGTTGTCTTTTGTTCGCATATGCACGTACGTGCACACAAAACCCTCCATGAATGCATTAACAGTGTTTATTTTTGGCATGATTTGGCCCAGCTGCTTTTCATGCTTTAGCCTAGGGTTGACATAGCATTGCTGGGGCTAATGAAGGTTTGTGGTGTCTGAAGCCTTGTCTACCATACCTTGTTCGCCTAGAAAAATGCGCAACACTCTGGAGCTCATGAGGAAGAAATGGCTGAATGCAACCTTTGTTTCCTTTCATTGCAACCATGGTCTTCGTAATCTCGTCAGCAGCAGTTTTTTTTGGCTGATTCATCTGCACTCAATCACAGAGTGCGGCCTCTTCTGAAAGGATTCGTCTATTGGTCAACAAAGAACTCGAACTGCATTTCATCGTCAGCTTGTGGTGGGCAGCTTTTGAAAAAAATCTGTTGGCCTGACAACACTTGCATATTTATGCAGCAATACAGCTACACCATGGCTTCTGTGATAATGGTATTATTGTCGATATCGAAGGTATGAAGACCAAGATGGTGAGGCCTTTTGTGTGGTCAAAGTCTCCTTTCGCTGTATAGAGGTTTTTTGACCTGGTTTTCGCAACTTGGTGGTATTGGTAGGAAGACTTAGAGGAACGCTCCTTATCCAGAGTCCATTGTATGCATAATCATTTCC